GATTGGAGGGTGACAGTAGTGTGAAGGAGGTGATGTTGGTAGTAGCTGGTGATGGTAGGGTGATGATGGTGTAGATGGTGGTTACACAGTTGATGAAGTGGTGATTGGAGGGTGACAGTAGTGTGAAGGAGGTGATGTTGGTAGTAGCTGGTGATGGTAGGGTGATGATGATGTGTAGATGGTGGTTACACAGTTGATGAAGTGGTGATTGGAGGGTGACAGTAGTGTGAAGGAGGTGATGTTGGTAGTAGCTGGTGATGGGAGGGTGATGATGGTGTAGATGGTGGTTACACAGTTGATGACGTGGTGATTGGAGGGTGACACTACAGTAGTGTGAAGGAGGTGATGTTGGTAGTAGCTGGTGATGGGAGGGTGATGATGGTGTAGATGGTGGTTACACAGTTGATGAAGTGGTGATTGGAGGGTGACAGTAGTGTGAAGGAGGTGATGTTGGTAGTACCTGGTGATGGGAGGGGGATGATGATGGTGTAGATGGTGGTTACACAGTTGATGAAGTGGTGATTGGAGGGTGACAGTAGTGTGAAGGAGGTGATGTTGGTAGTAGCTGGTGATGGGAGGTGATGATGGTGTAGATGGTGGTTACACAGTTGATGGCGTGGTGATTGGAGGGTGACAGTAGTGTGAAAGGAGGTGATGTTGGTAGTAGCTGGTGATGGTAGGGTGATGATGGTGTAGATGGTGGTTACACAGTTGATGAAGTGGTGATTGGAGGGTGACAGTAGTGTGAAGGAGGTGATGTTGGTAGTAGCTGGTAATGGTAGGAGTGATGATGGTGTAGATGGTGGTTACACAGTTGATGAAGTGGTGATTGGAGGGTGACAGTGTGTGAAGGGAGGTGATGTTGGTAGTAGGTGGTGATGGTAGGGTGATGATGGTGTAGATGGTGGTTACACAGTTGATGAAGTGGTGATTGGAGGGTGACAGTAGTGTGAAGGAGGTGATGTTGGTAGTAGCTGGTGATGGGAGGGTGATGATGGTGTAGATGGTGGTTACACAGTTGATGACGTGGTGATTGGAGGGTGACAGTAGTGTGAAGGAGGTGATGTTGGTAGTAGGTGGTGATGGGAGGGTGATGATGATGGTGTAGATGGTGGTTACACAGTTGATGAAGTGGTGATTGGAGGGTGACAGTAGTGTGAAGGAGGTGATGTTGGTAGTAGGTGGTGATGGGAGGGTGATGATGATGGTGTAGATGGTGGTTACACAGTTGATGAAGTGGTGATTGGAGGGTGACAGTAGTGTGAAGGAGGTGATGTTGGTAGTAGCTGGTGATGGGAGGGTGATGATGATGGTGTAGATGGTGGTTACACAGTTGATGAAGTGGTGATTGGAGGGTGACAGTAGTGTGAAGGAGGTGATGTTGGTAGTAGCTGGTGATGGGAGGGTGATGATGGTGTAGATGGTGGTTACACAGTTGATGAAGTGGTGATTGGAGGGTGACAGTAGTGTGAAGGAGGTGATGTTGGTAGTAGCTGGTGATGGGAGGGTGATGATGGTGTAGATGGTGGTTACACAGTTGATGACGTGGTGATTGGAGGGTGACAGTAGTGTGAAGGAGGTGATGTTGGTAGTAGGTGGTGATGGGAGGGTGATGATGGTGTAGATGGTGGTTACACAGTTGATGAAGTGGTGATTGGAGGGTGACAGTAGTGTGAAGGAGGTGATGTTGGTAGTAGCTGGTGATGGGAGGGTGATGATGGTGTAGATGGTGGTTACACAGTTGATGAAGTGGTGATTGGAGGGTGACAGTAGTGTGAAGGAGGTGATGTTGGTAGTAGCTGGTGATGGGAGGGTGATGATGGTGTAGATGGTGGTTACACAGTTGATGACGTGGTGATTGGAGGTGACAGTAGTGTGAAGGAGGTGATGTTGGTAGTAGCTGGTGATGGGAGGGATGATGATGGTGTAGATGGTGGTTACACAGTTGATGACGTGGTGATTGGAGGGTGACAGTAGTGTGAAGGAGGTGATGTTGGTAGTAGCTGGTGATGGGAGGGTGATGATGGTGTAGATGGTGGTTACACAGTTGATGACGTGGTGATTGGAGGGTGACAGTAGTGTGAAGGAGGTGATGTTGGTAGTAGCTGGTGATGGGAGGGTGATGATGGTGTAGATGGTGGTTACACAGTTGATGACGTGGTGATTGGAGGGTGACAGTAGTGTGAAGGAGGTGATGTTGGTAGTAGCTGGTGATGGGAGGGTGATGATGATGGTGTAGATGGTGGTTACACAGTTGATGACGTGGTGATTGGAGGGTGACAGTAGTGTGAAGGAGGTGATGTTGGTAGTAGCTGGTGATGGGAGGGTGATGATGATGGTGTAGATGGTGGTTACACAGTTGATGACTAGGTGATTGGAGGGTGACAGTAGTGTGAAGGAGGTGATGTTGGTAGTAGCTGGTGATGGGAGGGTGATGATGGTGTAGATGGTGGTTACACAGTTGATGACGTGGTGATTGGAGGGTGACAGTAGTGTGAAGGAGGTGATGTTGGTAGTAGCTGGTGATGGGAGGGTGATGATGGTGTAGATGGTGGTTACACAGTTGATGAAGTGGTGATTGGAGGGTGACAGTAGTGTGAAGGAGGTGATGTTGGTAGTAGCTGGGAGGGTGATGATGGTTCTGATGATGATAGTGGCTGTGGTACTAGCTCATACTGATAAATGATGATGGTGGTGATGATGATGATGGTTGTGATGATTATAATGATAAATGATGATGATTGTGATGATTATGCTGATGATAATTGTGATAATGATTATAATGAGAAAGGAAGATGATAGTGATGATGATGATTGTGGTGGTGGTGGTGCTTGCTATTTATTGCCACTACAATTATCATCATAATGATGATTATTATGATGAGTATGTGATGGCGATAGATCAAAGACATCACAGCTATTCTGACAAACCATCACACTAAGATTAACCATGTTACTAACGCCCGCTAATTGCTTCGAAAGCTGAGTTTACCGACGTGGAATAGCTTATGGTGTTCAACATTAGATATCTACCTCCATTACACCATCGTCAATCTCTATCACGTCTGGTACGTCTGTACACCAAATACTTTCTTAAAATATCTCCTCAACGTAATGGTTTCTCCATCTCTGCAATCTAGTATTCCTGCTGTTACTGAGTGCATTGCATGTAGATACGCAACAGCCCCCAGTGTCCATCAGTCCTGTACAACTGTCTCTCCAGCCTCTGTTCTTCATTGTTTGGCTCAGCTCAGAACCAACTTGAAGGAAGCCATGTATTGGAATGAGAACTAACGAGAACTAAGTGTTACTGATTGCTAATAATATTGGTTATTGTACATATGTTTGGAATATTGGTAAAGGTGAGTGATTTGACTTTGGACTGTCACCTTTTTGAATGTATTATTGTCCGTTGGCATTGAAATGTGTAAAGTTATGAATTAGTCTCACATTCCTTGTTTTTGCTCACTCATCCACCTGTGATTTGTGTTGGAAGTCTCAGTAATAAGTGAGTGGCAACCATAACTTTCTTCGTAGTTATGACAGTTTACTTCTTCAGGATTAGAATGAGATGATAAAGACATTTTGCATGTTTTATGTCCTGGGTGACCTGTTCCTCAAAGCGATCATAGCGCTACGACAGTTGTAAGTCTATGTTAAAGTATGGGAGTTACGACTGACGTAGCGCTATGATCTCTTTGAGGAACGGGGCCCTGATAACAGGCCATGCTGAGAGTGAGAAAGGTATCAGTAAAGTCATACACAGTGACCTGTATCAATTTGGACATGTGAGAGTACATACAGTGACCTATATCAGTTAAGATATATATCCTACTCACACTTTGCTAAGGATCACAAAATTCACAACTTTACTTTAACATAGATTTATATTATGATATTGTATCCATTTAAAACTGGATAAATAATGATATGAATCATGATAATCCCTCTTTAGGCAAACAGCCACTTTATCATGTTTATTCTAACCAATGCACTTGATACATGAGTAACCATAAAAATGGTTTTCATGGCACCAATCAACCATTTTGCAAATCATAGAACAAGTCATTGACAATCAACCATTTAGTACACAAAGCCTGTCAATAGCAGGTATGGGATCCACAAGATGAAATGACATAGGATCCTCCGTGCTTACAACAGGCTTAGATATTTAAACCAAATTTGACCCCACATCATAGTTTTCTTTTGAATCCATGATTTGATCCTTAGCAAAGTGTGAATAGTATATGTTAGGGCACATAAAACATTTGTTTGTCATTACTTGTGAACAAATGATGTCTGTTTAGACAAACTTGAAGAAGATTGAAAAAAGGTTAAGTTTTTTATAAAACAAGTTGCCTTGAGTATTAGGCATTCAGCATAAACTGTGATCATGGTGAATGAACAATCAGTACTATAATTATCAGTACCAATATATATAGCAATATTATCTGTGTATCAGGTGTCCAACATCAGGACAGTTCACAAAAAGAAGACTTTGGAATAGTCACATCAACAAACATTTAGAATCGGAACTGAATTTAACATACAAATACAATTAGTAAATTTCAATGCTTGAAACCTGTGAAGGTCCGGGTTAGAATATTGATCTTCAGTAACCCATGCTTGTCGTAAGAGGCCACTAACGGGATCGGGTGGTCAGGCTCGCTGACTTAGTTGACACATGTCATCGGTTCCCAATTGTGCAGATCAATGCTCATGCTGTTGATCACTGGGCTGTCTGGCCTAGACTCGATTATTTACAGACCTCCGTCATATAGCTGGAATATTGCTGAGTGCGGTGTAAAATTCAACTCAACTCATTTCAGTGCTTAAAACCAGTTTTATGGTTTTGCAGTGATCAGCAAAATGCCTCTTTTTGTGACCTTATGTGTAACCATGGAAACAACACTACCTTTGGGGGCATTACATCAATGTACATGAGTAACATCAATCACTGACACCTTAACAATGACAATGACACCATGTTTTTGTTTCAGCCCCAGCATGACCTAGGTGAAACAAGAGTGACTGACAGCAATGGCCATCTTGATTGACAACTTGTCATCTCATCTAGCACCACTGTCAAGCTAACTCACACCAAGGTAAGGTTACCTACTTTGACCTGACGTTCTCGAAAGGCATTTGGAGTGAGTGAGTTTGGTTTTATGCCACTCTTAGCAATATTCCAGCAGTATCACAGCAAGGGACACCAGAAATGGGCTTCGCACATGTGTGGAATTGAATCCGGTTGTTCAGCGCCAAGGCATTTAGAAGTTGGACGAACAAGAATATATGACATGTTTTATGGATAGCAACTGAAACATCATGATATGGGCAGACTAATTTTATTTCTTGTTTTACGGATCCGCCGGTCATGTTTTTTCAAGAATAAGAAAAAAAAAGAAGTTAATTTCCCCGCTCAAAAAATATAATCCTAATGTTAATGTGATATAAGTGAAATAATTTTGAAATCAGTGTGAAACCTAAACTCACTCAACTTATGTTTAGTTGATAGAAACAAACCAAAAAAGTTAACATGGAAACTCATGTGGGTTTTTGCTTTGACTGGTAATTTGTAAAAAAAATAATTTCATTCCTGCCTTTAGGTTTTATGAGGACCTAAAATCTGTAAAACAAGAAATAAAACTGATCTGGCCTAAAGAATATTAAAAAAAGAAAAAAGTTGTTATCCATCAAACATGCCATGCATCCATGATCCACTTTGACCTGCTCCGTTGTGTCTCGGTGCAGTGCAGCTGAGTGATGAAAAAATGTGGTGCTGAGTTTAGTCACATGACCCATTTACTGGAGGGTCGGCTGTATCTCTATATAGATTATGTGTCGCAGTCAGCTGGGTTGTTTGGTGTACGTGACATCGTGATTGTTGCGTACAGATTTAAACCTGTGACATTGTTTATGTCTATTTTGCATGATTGTTGTGTTCAGATATTTGGACTCTGACACGATTTATGTCTATTTCACATGTGGATTGTTGTAAGTGAACTAACAACGTAGTGAACAGATTTAAACTGGGACATTGTTTATGCGTATTCCACATGACTTGTGTTGAGACATATCAACTCCTGACATTATTCATGTCTATTTCATGTAGAATGTTTTATGTAAATTTAAATATCGTTCAGCTGGTTTTCTAGGGAATCATTTACCTCAGTCGCTGTGTTAATGCTCTTCTAGATTCTTCACAAACACCCTCTTCAAATGCTGAATATTTATGGACAATCTTTCTTTTCTAAATATAACAGGGTTTTCACAGAAAACACCAGCAAAAATAGGATATGTATTTGCAAGTGACTGCTATGATTGTTGTTAGTTTCACCACTATTGGAACTCAAGTTGTTTCACTACCTCTCTGGGGTCGGTGGGGTAGCCTGATGGTTAAAGCGTTCGCTTGTCACGCCGAAGACCCGGGTTCGATTCCCCACATGGGTACAATGTGTGAAGCCCATTTCTGGTGTCCCCCGCCGTGATATTGCTGGAATATTGCTAAAAGCGGCGTAAAACCAAATGCACTCACTCACTCACTCACTACCTCTCTGTCTTTGGAAACAGATTAGTAGTTGGTTTTAAATAAGCATCCCGCTTTTAATGTAGCTCCTGAGCGTTTATTATGGTGAATATGGTAGGCCTTAGACAGTCTTTCTTGTAGCAACATGAGGAAGTCGTAGGCTGTGGTATGTCATTAATATTTTGTTACATATATTATGTTTTCATTTATCTTGTTTTTAGCCTAAACTCTAACACAGCTTATGCTTGTTCAAAATATTCTGGGGCAGTGGTGTAGCTGTGTTGTTAAAGCGTTCGCTTGTCACGCCGAAGATCCATTGCTATTCACCACATGGGTACAATGTATGAAGGCCATTTCTGGTGTTTCCTGCCATGATATTGCTGGAATATTGCTAAAAGTGGCGGAAAACTAAACTCACTCACTCAAAATATTCTAATCTGGTCAGAAATGTTTGTTAGACACAATATATTTTCAGCAGTCTATTGAAGTTCCTTAATGTTCTTCTCAAGGCAGTGATAAAGTATGTAATTTTAAAACTGACGTTCCTCTTTCTGTTGCACTTTCTGTTATTAGGTTATAGACCAGGACAGTCATGTGCAAGTTCCCCCTTACAACATGATTTGCTCTCTGTTGTTTACCATGTTTAATGAACTTGGAGTGAGTGAGTGAGTGAGTTTAGTTTTACGCCGCACTCAGCAATATTCCAGCTATATGGCGGCGGTCTGTAAATAATCGAGTCTGGACCAGACAATCCAGTGATCAACAGCATGAGCATCGATCTGCGTAATTGGGAACCGATGACATGTGTCAACCAAGTCAGCGAAACTGACCACCCGATCCCGTTAGTCGCCTCTTACGACAAGATAGTCGCCTTTTTATGGCAAGCACATGGGTTGCTGAAGACCTATTCTACCCCGGATCTTCACGGGCCTAATGAACTTGGAAAGTAAAACTATTTACAGAACGGTCATCAGGAAATAATAAAATTAGGGACCGTAAATAATTGATGGCAAGGGAGGGTGTTTATAATTTTTATGGAGAAGCATGTACAAAGTAAGTGACCCCCCTTCCCCCACTTGCATGTAATGTACAAAATCAATGACCCCCCCTCCCCCTTCCCATATTTTTTAAGCTTCATTTTAAAATATTTATATGTACAAAATTGCTGACCCCTAATGGGTCATCAACATCAACATCATCAAACCCAGACAAACATAATGAATGGTCCCTTATGTTTTGTTAAGTTACTGGTTAGCATTTAGTAGTTGGGCATTGATTGTGAGATTAATAATGAAACAGTAGAATTATCTTCTGTAGCATCGGGGCCTCACTTTCTGTGTGTGTAGGTTTGTGAGGAGTCAACTCCATAGTTAATCTTTCAATTTAGCACAGCTAGGGATTATTCATCGGCAGATCCAGAGGGAGGTGTGTGTGTGTGAGGTCCCCCCTTTTGTCCTGAAATTTATTAAATGACCATTGAAATGCTTTTGAAAATGAAGTGTACACGCAACACGACGACACCACGCGACGCGACGCGACGCGACGCGACGCGACGCGACGCGACGCATCGCGACGCGACGACACGCGACGCGACGCGACGCGACGACGCGACGCGACGCGACACACACACNACGCGCGCACACACACACACACACACACACACACACACACACACTTCAAAAAGCTGTATCCGCCCCTGATTATTCAATGGTTATAGATGCAGAGGTGGGGTGAGGGTTGTTGTGAAAAATGACAGTGGGCATTGACAACATTTTTCACTTTCGGCATGATGGGGAGGAATAGAATTTACAAAAAAAATGTGAAAGAGTAAGGAAAATGTGAAACGTGATGTGTGATACATTCCTCAGACAAGCTGTCCACCACTCCCGAGTAAATGACCAGTCCATTATTTTCTTGAGGAGAATTCGGCACAGAATATTGTCTGTCTCACAGTCCCTAAACTGCATTATCTCCCCTTGAATGAAGCAAGTCTAGATTTCCTCAGGTTCTGAATCTCCCATCTCACTGGGGTTTTGTCAATGTTAAAGGTAATATCTGTTTCTGTATTTAAATTAATAATGCATGTTCAGAGACTAAACGTTAAAGTTAAACTGTCTTAGGTGTAGCAATGCGCTGTGCCAAAGAGTCTGTTGTGTGGCAGATAGCTATAAATTTGCAAATCATCAGATTCACAACTTATGTACTTCTTTGTTTGTCGGTGCCATGCTTGTGGGTTACACCAGTGAGTGAGTGGATTGAGTGAGTGAAGCAAGTGAGTGAGTGACATATTACACTATGTTAGCAATATTCCAGGAATAACTCGGCAGGGGAAATGGAAATGGGCTTCGCATATTGTACCCATTTAGGGAATCGAACCTGGGTCCTCGGCATGACAGCCAACGCTTTAACACATTGACTGCCACCATGAGTTATAATACTCGTACTATCAATGTCTTGCTGAATTTGCCACTACAAGTTATGTCGTAGCTACATGAGTGATATTTTAAAGCAAATTTCACATGTTGGCAAAACAGGCACAAGAAGCAATCGTTAATTAAGAATGCCAGGAGGCGTTTGTTTCTTTCGGCCAGAATTGATACTACGAGTATACACGTGATAGGCAGTCAACGTGTTAACCACTAGGCTACCCCACTGCCCCTCACAAAAGAGGTAACCCTGAGAGACTATGCCCCCGAATCACTCCTCCCATAGCAGTCTGACTTGACATAAACGGTGAAGTAACCGAAATACTGATACGAGAAGTGTTAAACAAACTCATGTAGCAGCCATAAAATTTCCGAGTCCCGTGCTGGGATTCGAACCACGAACCTTCTATTCCAAAGTAGGATGCCTTGTCCACATTACCAAAGAGGTTAACCCTGTCAGCAAGCTGACAAGGTAAGGATGTCATCTGTGGGATGACTCCACGCTCTGCTACACTCACACACTCTCACCATTATAAGTCTTCATCAACAACAGGGATGGATATATGATACGATCTAATTACTTCATTCATGAAGTTATAATGTCAATAACCAGGTTCCATCGTAGGTTCTGTTAGGTCACGAACAGCCGTACCCAAACGCTGTGTCATCTTATACTCAGCCACAGTGGAACCTTCAAACTAATTTATGCATACGATATGCGTGAATCATCATAGTGATCATGGTATTAACGTGTGGGCTTGTTTTGCTAATTGTCCTCAAAGGTAGTTTTCCATAATTTTCTCCATTGGCATGCTTGAGTCATATGGCTTTGATACACATCATTGTATCCGGAATGCCGATGTCGTTGGTGGGAAAATTACCAGTTGAAATAAGTTCTGGAAATTTCCGGGAAATTGGTGCTAGTTTGTTGGATATTGGACTTAATGTCAAGAGTCTAGTGTTTATGTTCAGATGGGGCTACTCAACTGCACTTGTCTTTACTAACGGTGTGACGGTCAGCAGAAACAGCTGTGTGAAATGTACAACAGATGTCATGTGGAACAGATGAAATCAACAATGGATGATTAATGCTTTAACTTTGCTGGGAATGTTGCTGTTATTTTGTGTCATGAAAACAATGTGTTTTGAG